TCCAGGGATGACTGGGAAGGCTTCATTTTAGACGTTTGCCTGCATCAGGCTGTATCTTCCAGGCTGCTGCAGGGTCCCGGGAACTGCTGAGTATTCCCAGCAGTGTGAACAGCTTTAAAACCATAGACCAGCTGGCCAATAGCTAACAGATCATCTTATATCCGGAAAATTCTGCATCAGTCTGATTTATGATGGAAGTCCTGAAGAGTACATTCCTGCTGGTAAAATGATTGGTTGCACTGTGTTTTTTAAAAGAATTGGCATTGGGCAAACTCCCTTTGACTGCATAAAGTGTAGAGTTATTCACAGAAAAGCGATTCTGAAAATCCTTCACAGTAAATGGTGATTATTGTGGCTTTAGAAAGTCACCTAGCTTGTTCTGATATACTTTCCCAGGCTGGTAAAATGGACAGCCTTCACTACTGACTAAGGAAGAAAAATTAGAAAATTGAGAAAATTGATTTTCTTGTTAAGTAGGTATGGTTATGAGCACTGCTGTGAGAAAGATTTTTTTTTTTTCCCCCATTTGATTTGATTTGAAACAGATTTTCTTTCAGGTAAGGAAGAAAAGGTTGTTTCAAATCAGATGAAATGCTTTGTTCTCAGATTACCTAAATCCCCTATAAACACTGGGCAATCTTGAAATGAAAAGTCAGAACATTTTATTTAGAAAATACTGAAATTAATATTTTGCCATTACTAAAACCAATTTCCTATTATTTTGTTTTTCCTTTGGCCTTAATTGTTAGATCAGTTTGACCCAAATTAACAAGTCCTTCCGTTTCCTACCATAAATGCATTCTTAGCAAATCTATATTTCAGTGTATAATTATTACCTAACTGAAGGCTCAAGAACAGCCTGTTCACAGAAGTATCTGGAGTTGCTACTGTGGTGCAGTCTGATCTCCACAATAGCAGAGAGCCAGTCAGGGAAGGGAATTAAAACTAAGTTGCGAAGCAGACAAGATAAGCTGTAAGGAGTAGAAAGGATCTGCATGGAAAATGGGGTTAGTCTATTGATTAGGAACTCTTGACTGCACAGTCAGCAGTTTTCTCATTCCTGTTTAATATGATCGGAAATTAGGCTGCATCCAGATAAGTTAACGGGAAATCACTACCTCAATCACCAAGGTGAAATATTAAAGTTCTTTGGAAAGATGCAGAGGGATGATAATCATTAGGTGAAGAGACAGAACATTGAGTTTAGTTAAGAAAGATGGAATATACAAATCCAGTACAGACCTGGGCATCTTAGCTATCAAAAACCCACAACATGCCATTCTCATTCATAGGGCTACCTATCAGCCACTGACACAACGAGAAAGTGACTTTGATGGGAGTCTGGAAGAACATACGTAGGTAAATCTAAACCTCTGTTTCTGAAAATCATCCAGCCATTTCAGAACACTGAAGTTCTTCACATTTGTCTAGGACTAAAGCACATTTTTCCCCACTATACTCCAAAACCAGCCAACCACCTTTACAAGGTTAATCATCCTCTACCACTGGCCACCCCCACCTTTTTCCTTTTACAGCTCTCTCGTTTCATGGATACTCAGATACAAACTGAAGGGGCATTTGCCCAGACAAGATTCCCGAGAAAACGTAACACTCAAGTCTAGTGGGATGGAGAATGATGTACAAGAGAAACATGCTAGATCCTCATCAGCTTCCAGGGTCATTTCTGCAGTTTATGCAGCTCTAGGATAAAACACATGAAGCAACCGTGGAAGCCCTATGGAGCGTTGCCATACAATAATTTTTGCAAGGTGTCTACCTCTGACTGCTCATAAAGCAATATTAGAGAATCACGTGTGCTACACCAGCTAGAAAACCCTTTGTGAGACCACTGAACTCTGGGCAGCTCCCGAGACCCAGGACTGAGTTCAGGCTCCCTACAAATCCCACACAGACTTGTGACAATCAGGGCCACAGCTCTTTTTCAAAAGATGCTTGCTTCGAGCATCAAGAGGGGTGCCCACAGCATCCTCCCAGCAAGTGATGCAACGCCGACTGTTGTCGGGCCTCGGGTGCCATTCTCTGCAGCAGTTCGAGGCGGCTGTATGAAGGCTACGCAGGCAACGAAACTGGAAAATCCTAAGCCTCTGATCAGAAACTCCTCTCAGAAAATCTTCACCCAATGTTTTAAGACGCTGATCACAAACAAGCAATGTCTTGTAGTCAGACACTCCAACCAGAAGTGTAATTCAGAGTATAATCTTTCCTCAGAAAGAACAGAGGACTGATCAGTTGGTACGCTTTAGGAAACCAACTGGGTTTTTTTTTAATATTATTTTATTTTTGAAAAAAGGAAATCCAGTGTATTTCAGAATACCAACTTACTAATTAAGCTGCTAATCTTGCTTCTATTCTTAACTTTTAAAACCCCAGAAATAGGAGAGATAAGTCTATGCTTAGGTACAGTGGTGCAGGCACATTAAGAAATTATGCAGAAAGAAATCATTCAAAAAACAGTCACAAAGCAAAAAAAGATTTTTTTCTAGCACTGAAATGAAAGCTAACGAGCCCTCCTTCATGCAAACAAGATTGAATTCAGTCCATATTGTACAACTGCAACATGTCCTCCATCCAAAATGTGAGCAGAGAGCAAGTTAGCTGGCTAGCCAATACTGCCAGGTACGACTGTCTGTCCCTAAACCAGCAACAGCAGTACCACATCTCAACTGGATGCAGCAGCATTTGCCAAACTGCGCTGTCTGGTACCTTGAAGACATCCCTTTTAGAAATACGACTTTTAGAACTGGCGTGACAGCGGTGGCTTTTAATATGGTGCCATTAACATCTTCAGAGAAGTATCAACCTTGCTCAAAGGCAGCAGAGTCTTCAGGACAAGCCTGCGTCTTTTCTAAAAGGTACATCGATACCAATCTGTGAAGAAACTAGTGTTTATAAAGGGTTTCTGTGAGGAGTGCCAAACCTGGTGGAGCAGCACGGAAACATAAAAGAAAGGTATGGCTAGGTGCTCTCACGCTGGGAGGAGGGCAGAAGGGACAGAAGGTGAAAAGGAGGAGGATGGATTTCAGAAGCGATGCTATGGTATTCAGGAGCCATAAAATATTACTATGGGAAAGGCAGAGAAAATTAAAGGCCAACTGCAGTCTTGGAAGATCCAGCAATAAAGCAAGCCGACAGATTCTGTACCCCGGCTGATGAAGCAACTGAAAATGCCTTGAAATGCAGCTTGTGCACAGATTGCTAAAGGAAGCTCAAGAAGCTCAGATTCCTTGTTTTCCTTTTTCAAAGAAAACATGCAATCTCCTTCCACCCCACTAATCCCATCCCAAGGCAATCACTCTATTTTCTAAATTGATCTATGTTCAGTATAAATACACGAATTCTGTGTGCCGCTATCTTCAGAACTCAAAATGCAGTTTGTCCTTGTTGTAGCCACTTTATATTTTCATGAAGAAACAGAACGGGGAAAAAGAAAATTTTTTTTATGCTCATCATTTAGGTATAAAAACAAAAAAACCACCCCAAACCTGTTTTTCCTTTCTGCTACATAGGTCTTGAACACAAACTAAGACACACTCCTCCCCAGTTTCCACCATCTTATTTCAGGGACCATTTACCAAACATTGCAAAAGTTAGAAAACGAGGGGGACACATGGGAAACATGAATATCTGAAAGATCACAGGACATAATTCATTCAGTATCCCCCTTTCCCTCAAGAGTTTATCACCTCTCAGAGATGCATCTAACTTAAAGCCATTAATTGTTTCTAACTGCCAGAACTGTCGCTCATTCATAACGCATTAGCACACAGGTGGGTTTTTTAACAGCTCCTGCTGTACATAATTTCATTTGTGATGCACACTTTCATTTTTATTTTAAATTCTAAATTATTTCCAAGTAAAGATCTGAAGGATTATGTTTCACCTGTGGATTTTTAAAAAATTATTTTTATTTTTTAAAAAGTCAGGCGAACAGCTGGACTACAACTCAAACACCAAAAAAACCCAAACCAACATCTAAATACTAATAATTAGTGCAGGGAATGGCTTATGCATTCCTTATTAGTGAAACATACCCTCCTGTCCCACTCCACCCCCAAAATGAAGAATTTTCTACTTTTAAACAGAGAAATCAGAACTGTCATTTATGTAATAGCAAATATGCAAACCAGAATACCTTTCACTTACATCTCTGGATTTGCTGCCTTTTGTTTAATAATATAAACACACACGCCAACTGTTAACAGATAACATGCAGATTTTTAAGTTACCATTAATGGCTCAGTAGTCCTATTCAATAAGAAAGGGTTTGCATATCTGAAAAACCTGTTGCCTTTAAAAATGAATAAAATTAGTAACACAGTAATCTTCAGTGCATGGCATTTGCTTAAAATTAAATACGGGCCCGATCAAGGCAACTCTGTACTCACATGAGCAGTCCTGTTCAAGTAACCAGCATCACTTGCGTAAGTAATATCCTGTAGTTTGTGTTTTAAGTTAAGGCACCTTACTTTGGTTGGTTGGTTGGTTGTAGAATTGATAACTGATACACCTTTTGGTTTATGCCTGCTGGATCACTTCTGCTAAATTCATAAGCTTCAGACTGCTTTAATAACAACTTGTAATTAAAAGAACACAGACAACCTTTTCCTCAGTAAACGTTTTACCCCATCACTTGGAGATCAATTTGGAAGTCACTTTACTGTGTAGCTTTTGTCAAAGCCTTTTTTTTCCCCCTAAAACAAGAATCCAATAAACCCAAATGAAAACAAGAAACAAAACCACTATTTCATGCCTTGACAACTGTATTTTTCCACTTCCAGTAATAACTTGAATTTGCGCTTTTAAACTCACTTAGGAAATACCATCATCATAAACTGCATACTGCTCAGGACTCTTTAACTACTTAATTAGCTACTAAAACCCTGCGAAGGAGCTGACGTTGTATCAGAAGAGAAGCAAAATGAGCCAAACTCCACGCATCCCCCACCCTCTTACTCACAAGCGTTAGTGTAAGCCCTTACCTGCTGGGTAACGTTCGATAACTGGCCAGTTGTCCACCTGTAATGTGGCATTGCCACCACTTCTTGTGAAACGTACTACGTGGTATTTTCCATCATTAATGATTGCGTTGATCTCTTCAATAGAGATGTCATCAGTTCCAACATTAAATTTAACTCCAATTTTTCCCTGGTGCTGCATGTCAAAAACAAAAAAAAGCAAAAAAAAAAAAGAGGAAGAAGAAAAAGAAGAACTAATTAAGAGTTGTTTTAGCAAGAAATGGAGACAGTGTGTCATACAGGGAAAGATTTCTAACAACATCTTCCCTCCTCAGATGTAACTTCTGAAGGCTTGCATGTGGCAGTGACAAGCCCCCCGACAGCTCAGTAAGTCCAGGACGTCTCTTTGATGGATAATTGATATTCCAAATGAGTTATTTCACCAAATTGAGTTCTCTCCTTTTCCAAGAGATTCAGACCAAGATGAGGAGGGAGGGAGGAGGAGGAAAGCTCAAGTTTTCTTTCTTTGTCCCCTCCCTCGCCTCCATGAGGATTAAACACCATTTTTCCTTTTAGGCTTTCACAACGGAAAGCCTTGCAGTGTCACTTGGAAGAGGTTTGAGGATTTTCTGGCTATGAAAGCCAAGGTCCAGCCCTGCATCTCCTTCCCCCAAACCTCGTTCACGCTCAGAGTGTTCACAAATGATAACAAAGGAGGAAACTTTTTCTTTTCTAATGGAGTGGGTTTTTTGCATCACACTGTAGTAGCTCTGAACCATTAAGACAAGAACAGACCAACTGACTAACAAGGACTTTTCTGATCAGAGCCAGAGAGGAGCAAAAGGCATTTGTGACACAGGGACAGCACCTTTTTCCCCCCTAAGGACCAAGGCTCTGATTTTTTTGCTGGGATTTGCCTGTAAACTCCTGTGCCCGAGTGCGCCCAGGGCTCTGGGGACTTCCCATGCACATTCATACTCAGTACCAAGGCTGCAGATTTTCCAGATGATTGCGATATTGGCACGTTTTCATTTTTATTGTCTTTTAATTATTAAGATGTTCACTCTAATGGGACATTTATGTTTTAACAAAGTCCTTTAATGTCTATTAAAAGTTTAACTTAAGAACTTAATGATTTTTTTTCTGCCATAAAATCAATTCTATTCCTGAATAAGGATATTTATTAAATTGAGAAGAAAAAAAAAAAAGCACAGCAGAGTATGAGATTAGGGGCTTGTGCATAATAAGTGGCAATTCTATGTAAAATTTCATGTAATTAGTACTGGTACATCCTTCTTAAAAGTTAAAAAACTTCCTAAAGTTTTTACACTACCAGATGAAACACAATGAAACATTTCACTTTGTACCTCTTTGACATTCACGTCAATCTTTCCAGAACCAGCTTAACCTCTCCTGCATAGCTTTTGTGTCTGCTCCCTCCTTCTTTTACTACCCTGGCAGCACTCCCTGTAGTAAGCGTATCCTGCAGCTCCTTGTCTCTGGAAGTCTCCCAAGTGAAGAACTCAGGAGTTCTTCCACTTTATTTTATTCTCTTTTTAAATACTTGACTTCATTTTCCAGTAGTGCTTGCATATTCCAGTTACACGGTTGAGCAGCTGCTGAACACCTTTGGAGCAAGTCCCTCAACGTTTTGGCACTGCGCTATGACCTCTTCCGCTAAGATCTTTTTTAAAACCCTAAAAGGACCATTTCCTGCTGAGATTTGCAGAATGACTCTGAAAAGTATTTTTTTTTATTTGCTCAGTTCCTTAAATAACGTTCTAAATATTCTTCTTTTTTTCCTTGCGGATTGTTTTAACGTTTCTCTATTGGCTGGTCCTACTTTTCCATGCCGACAGGGTGTCAGTAAGGGATTCACCTCACCCAGCACATGCTCACCCGCTTTGGCCTCTCGTGTGAGCTGCGGAGCAATCTCTCACTTGTCCCGGGAGAGTAACTGTAGCTCCGTTTTATTTCAACTGGTTCAACTATGACTCAGAATAGATTTCACCCATTTTCTTCCATGGATGCAATAGTTTATTTGCTTCACCTGTTTCATTCATATGCTTACTTTCTTTATACAGAAATGTATACAAAGAAATATAATATTGTCCTGGTCCTAAAGCAATCTCCTCTTTTACTAATTTACGAAATGCAGAAAAACAGCATCTAATGATAATGGCATATGCACCTTTTCACACTACTTTAAAGAAATCAAAGTCTTTGAGGATTAAAAAAAGCTGACTAATTTTATGGTGATTCATAATTTTACTATCCATAACCTACATTTACATACCTGCTTTGCCATTTGCTATATATATGTATATACATATATTATTTTAGATCAAAAAATGACAAGGTAAAAAAGCACTTTTGAGCGAATAGGACAGGTGCAGGCAAAATGAAGTGGCATAAAAGGCAAATATATCAGCAGGTTTTCCAAAACTAAGAGAATGTGGTGTTGCAATGGTTACCAAGTAACCATTTGTAAATGGCCAGGTATTGGCAAGTGAAGTGAATGCTTTACAGACTTGAAGGCAGACCTTTAGCCTTACTTGATACAAATATACTTTTAAGTGGGAAAAAAAAGCAAGTTTCCCTGACTTCCCGACATTTGTACAGAAGTACTGTGCACAGACGCCAAGCACGCAGCTGCAATAGCAAAAAATAGCACCCTAGTAGTTGATAACATACTATAGTAATTTTTTTGGCTGTATTTCTAATGCATTTGTGTACCTGAGAACATAAAAAACTCCATATTTAAAGGATACGTTTCATTATTTCACACTTCTTCAGCACCTGTGGGCATTTATATAACCTCCTATAAAACAAGGAAGCAAATCTGGGTTTCGAGTTTAAGTCTTCCTTATTATTATATCCATATTTAAGTTTGACTTCTGAACCTCACGCTAAACACGATATGGACTACCACTCCATTGCGCACAGCAATTTAGAACTGCAAAATGAAATATGATGCAAAGACCTGACAGTACACAGGCCCAGACAGATGATGACATTACCACAAAGCAGTAAGTCACCACGTATCAGCTGAGTTGCAATAAGCACCTCTGTTTGTAGATAGCGGTTTTTTTAAGCCCTTGCACAATCATGCAGTAGTTGGACTCACTGTACTGCTCCTTCACTGCAAGATAATGTAAGTCACGTTATTTTTCATTTGTCATTGGGTAAGACCGTGTGCACATACAGTTACTGTGGACCAGCTGACGTACAGTAGCCTGTTGAGATAACTTTTATTTTTCCTTCTTTTTGGAGCAACACAGTAGCGCGGAAAGGGAAGAGACTGATAAAACTGAAGCATGCTAAACTACTATTTCCACTTTGCCAGCCTCAGTTGCATAATGCAGTAGTGGAAATTTTCCTTTATCACTTGTTTATTCATAATAATCTTAAAGTCATTCTTCCTACCAAAACCAGCCTCAGACAAATGCTGAATGAGAGGTTCCCTCTTCAGCATCATGATGATGGGCACTATAGAAATGTCTGTGAGTTACTAAGTACCACGATAAGTCAACATTACTGTTGAATGATGTTATCTTTGCCTGTGACCTGAAACAGCGCGGCATTTCAAGCTCATATTTCTGGGAGGTTATGTTTGCCCACTAGCAAAGATGATCATTTCAGAGTTTCCCTGGTAAAAATCAGCTCTGTACACAGGGCGTGTAGAAGTCCACCGTGCTGTTTACGGTTCTTAGCCTGTGTTTTACTTTTCTCAATCTCACCCAGTTGTGAGAGAATGTAGCAATGAATGTGCCTTTATCCAGTCTGAACTGGGAAGGCCACCATAACAGAGTGGAGACACGTAGGAGATGGGAGAGTCTCCAATATTGTTTCCAAGAGAGACCAGAAGAGCGGACACACCTTCAGGAGAAGAGTGAAGCATTTCAAGAAGTAGCATTAAACGTTGTTCTCTGTCTCCGGACATTATTTGGAACTTCAAATCAGAAGGTGCTGTGAATACTGCTGCAACCATCCCATCACCACCACCGCTCTGAGCAACAACCAGCAGCTCTTCAGAAAAGCTAAACTTCTGGTTTGGAGGTGCTTTGGCCATGTAGCTCTCCTGTTTCTGAGTCCAGGGTGACTTTCTCTCCACAGTACCCACACAGACAGTAAGCTCATTAGGCGTTACCTAAAGTGCATTACTGCGACGTGCAATGTCGGCTTTGCCTACAGTTTAACCTTTGCTGTCCAGCCACTTGTAGGACTCCAAGCTCACAGGGTAAGGATAAATATGTTAATGGCTTCAAAGCAGTTGGGTAAAAGCCTAAGATATACATGTTTAGCTCCAATCCTACATTCCTAATGTGCTCTGAAATGCCAGGAGTTTTGATTGCTCAGACAGTATAGGTGTGTGTGCATGCACGTGTATGTACCAATCATTTCAAAACATTTTGTCTTCAAAAGCACTGGCAGCTACTGTTGTAATCTAGCAACTCCAGTGGAATATTTTCAAGCATGTTTTATGAATTGTGTACTCTAAATACTTCTACCTTGGCTTTAATAGGCCTTTTCTGCTTCTGATGAAGCACCGGGAATGCTGATGAACCCGAGAACCGAGCAAGAAACGTGAAATGCAAATCAAGCCAGCGGCTGAGAGTGCAATTTGTTCCCTGTTGGACCCTAGTTCAGTGCTACTGATCTGCCAACTCCAAATGCAATAAAACCTATGCCTGTATTATATATATATATATATATATATAATCTCCAGAATAATGATATTTCCTATAGCATCAGCAAGGTTTTACTGCTCTCTGTAGTAATAATTCTGGAATCAAACAGGAGCGTGTGCAAATTTGGCACAACAGGAGTTTTGGAAGAGACCACAGACAACGTAAGCTCATAATGCTTACAACCTTTAACCACTTCCAAAGAAAAGTAATAATATTGTGACTCCCACAGGTGAACAAACAGAGAAAAAACACTCAAGCATGCCAGCTTGCATCTTATAGTGTTGGTCCCTGAGGCACAACTTTCTGGTGAATGTGATAACAAAGTCTTAGAACTAACTGATGGTTTACTTAGATTTTATTGAAGAATACGTTTCTTGAGTTTTATTAAGAAGAGTGAGATCATTTTCACTCAAATGTAATCAGAAGCTAATATTCTATATTACAGAAATTTATGCAAAATAATTAATCTCTGGTTTTCTGAAGCTTGTAAGGAAACGCATATCTG